TTCCCGATCTCCTTCCTACGAATTTCTTCAGCAATTGACGTATCACAAGTTTTTGAAAATTTCAAAGATTTGCCCCTTAACGAATTGGAATCGTTTCCCAACTTTCAGGTAAAGGATGTTAGCAATAAAATAGCATTCACTTCATCACTAAAAGTAATCTTAACTGATATCAATTGATTGACTGAATTTGTGACCTCATTTATTTGAAAATTGACAGAATTACTTTCTTCCATGTGAATGTTAAAAAATCTCCTTAGGAGATATACCTTATTATTAGTTGATGGTTTTTTCCATACATGTTCTCTAGTGCATTCATTAGATCTATTGTCGTCATTTTATTTGCCATGAGACTTGCCACATTCATCGACAAACACAATCTGATGATGGCAACTGTCTATTCGTTCGCCTCACGCAATCTTCATCTTTGATCGCTACTGGTTGCTTCTTTAAAGGTTTTTAGAACTTCTTGCATGTAAGGAAATGCTTAATATGAATATTCCAATATCCGAAATTGGCTCCATCAAACTTCATGATTCATTTAAAACCTGACTTCCCTTGATCCTTTGACCCTCTGAACTAAACGCTCGTTTACCAATTGATTGGAAAAAAATATAGATAAATCGGTCCTCCTATAAGTTCTTCAAACAAGAACTATTTGATTTTCCTCTTTCACAAGTTAAAAGCAGATAAGTAAACTGTAACAATAACAAATGAATAAGAGATAGAGATATAAAAGCTTAACACTACAGGGATTATATTAGTTCTACTATAGTTGAGAATATTACAAGGGGGATCTCACTCAATAAATCACTATACAATAACTATCTTGCTTCTAAGTACCCTAACAATGGCTACTTAGGATTACACAATTGAGAACACTCCCACTAAACCCACACGATGTAGACACCTTTTCACACCCTGCCCACAACTAGTCAAGTCACTTTTATTTGGATTATGTACAAATAAAATCTTAATAAAATGAGTCTATTTATAAGAAGTCAAATATCATAATCCTTATAAGATAACAATATTGTAATTATTATAAAATAAATAATATCCTACTCCTTGTAGGATTCGTAGTAGTGTTGAAAATCATTTTTCTCGTAGGACACGTATCATCTGTTTTGGCTCTATTAACCCAACATTTTCCTCTCTACTCCCTCGTCCATATCCCTTATCTTTCTCATCTTTAAAATCTCTTTGTTTTTGTTAGATGAGAGAGGGAACCACAACATTTTCTGGATATTTTTTCTAGGTATTTTGATCGTGTCTCTTCCTTTTCAATTTTTCTAGGTATTTTGATTGGAGCTACCTCTCTTTCTCTTTCTCGCACGTTCCTCCTTTGCCTAGTCTCCCTTCTTCTCAATATCTCATCTAAACCCGATGACCCAACCCAACCCAACTCGAAAATATAAGGGTTGGGTTGGATTGGGTTGCAAAACCACTTTGATTCCATTGTGTACAAAACTGACCCGATCGAATTTTTCGGGTTATTGGTAAAAAAAAAAAGCCCTAACCATGCCCAATCCAACCCTTGAACACTCCTAACTGTGAATTCCATCTTATGTAAAAATGTTCCAATTTCTCTACTTGAATGTTCTCCTAAAGTAGATGACTTATTAGGTGAATGTTGATGTCACGCCCCCCACCCCTGTGAATTAAAGAACACACGCCACATAGACAAAATTTTATAACACACTCAACATTAAAATCAAAAAAGGGGATATGATGATCATAGTGATGTGTCCATATTTTCTTTAATGGTCTTACAAGAAATTGCAGGATAAATCGCGGTCTAGTCTTATGCAATCCCATTGCATACTACTCTACTCACATTTCACCACATGAACGATCTAGATAAGACAATTGGTAAAGGTTACAAAGTGAATCCTATGAAAAATGTCACTAGCTAGGATTAGGTTCCCAACCCTATCCATATATTATAGACTATTAAACCACTACTCTTAAACTAAATCCTCACGTTTGTCAATTACATATACCTCGTTTAAGAATACATCTGGTGGCTTAAGAGCGATTAAGCATTGAAGAATTTCAATTCCCCAACAAGATGTATATCTAATTTTTAAGTTTATTTTATATGTATCTAATTAGTTTACCTCATGTCACGAGCTTAGGATATATATCCAAAAAAATGTTGGTTTTTTTTTCAATTTAGTTCTTAATTGTTTAAAAAGTTCAATTTAGTTCCCATTGTAACCTTTTTCAATCTAGTGAATGTTAGAATTGCCTAAAAATGATAAACTTACCTGATATAATATTTAGTGAATTAGTGGAAATCTAGAGGGAGAAAAAAGACATTAAGATAGGAAATTTTAAACTTCTACAAATTTATTTTGAAATTTGGAGGAGGAATTAAAAACTTTCTTTTCTTCCTATGACTTTTTCCTATAAGATTATGCAAATTCACCAAGTATTATACTATATTTACAAATAATGAGAGATAAAATTAAAAAATGTTAAATTAATATTATTTAAATAATAGGAACTAAACTAAAAAAAATACCTAAACATTACGACTAGATTGAAAAGAATAAAAAAAACATTAAGACTAAACCATATATAAGTATTTTAAAAATAAAAGATTACTTCTTTTTTTGTTTTAGCATTTGTAATTTCTAAAAAGAAAAAAAAAGGACATAACTGAAAATGGTATATTTTCAATTTTTTATGAAATATTAAAATTAATTAATACTAAATACGTTTCTTACCATTAAAACATAATTTAATGATATTAGGCAACTGATGACAACCCATGTAGAGCTTCCCCACTTACAATATCAAAATTAAAGGAAAAATGCAAAAACTATGTTTCCAAGGTCTCAATTGGTTAAGACCACCTATTTTCGATCACAAAATTGTGAATACGAATTCTTATCCCACGTACTGTACTAAAAAGAACTACATTTTAAAAAGGGTTAAAATTTTACCATTCTTAAAAGTCAACGTTGGACTACCCATTATTAAACTTGAAAGAAAAGAAAAAGTGGTTACAATGCCCTACTCTCAACCATCTATTTAAGTCACTACTTTCCTAAATTTAGGGAATTATTGCAATTAAATTAAGCCTTGAACACACTCAATCTTAACTTGAAAAAACAGATGCAAACTAGTTAAGACACATATCTCTAACCAAAAGGTTACGCGTTCCAATCCCACCTCCACATGTTGTAGTAAAAAAAGAAAACTTGAAAAAACAGTATAAAAACCTCCCAAATACACCATAAATGGTGGGGAGAAGCCCTAGAACCTAGACAAATTGTCAACTATTAAAAAAAATCACAACTTGTATTTAAAATAAATTAGATATATTAATATATATTTGATTTAATTTAGAATTTTCCATTTTTCATGCTTACATTATTATGGATTCCAAATCTCTAGTTTTCTTTGCATTTTAGCCATATGGATGCATTTCTTCTCTTTTTTTTTTCCCATTTTTTTTAACCCGGCGTTCAGATATTCATACAACCTCACCTATGTCTTTTTTATGTTTTACTTTTTTTTTCCATTTGAATTTGGGGTGTTTTTCTTTTCGCATTAAATATATTGTTAGGCGGCTTTCAATCTAGAGCTTATAGTCTGAGATTTAGAGATTAGAGGCTTTGGAATTTATGGCTTATAGGTTAGGGTTTAGGTTTTAAATTTTGTTTGAATAATATAATTTTTTATTTATATATTTGTTAGATTTTTCTGTGATAAAATATATTTATGGGACAGTTGCAAATGTGACAAAAATATTTAGTAAAATAAGCAAAATAACAACCACATTTAATTTTGTCAAATATAACATTTTTTGCAATAAAAAACGGATGTCCAATTTTAAAATTACAACTTTACCCTACAATATATCTGATACACACCTGTAATATATCTGCACTGTAACTGACTACTCATATATATGCCTTTGATATACCACTTATATAATAATGATATAAATTGATTTACTTCTGATATAACAATAATATCTACTGAACTTCTAATATGACTTACCACTTATATACGTATGATAACCATTGATTTACCATGCTGATACAACATTTATATATATTTGTAATATATACTCGATATGTCTCTAATTTATCATTGATATACAAAGGATATACCACTTATATAACTTCTTATATATGATTATATGATTTAACACTAATATAACACTGATATATATTTGATATATACTTATATGCTTCTAGTTTACCACTGATATACCTTTGATATAACCATGATATCTACTAATATAATTATGATACATGGGTGTTGATATAATACTATTATATCAAATATTTTTTTTCATATGAAAACAATGGTGCAAAAAAAAAATTAAATATATAAAGTTTTTGTATAAAAGGTCTATGTGGATCACATGCACGTCCAAAAAATAAGTTAGAAATCTGATATACTTCATAAATTTAAACAGTTGATATCCCTTATATTTCGTAATTAATATTAATATAGAATAAATAGTAGTGATATAGTAATCAACACTATTGATAATATTAGTATATCAATCAACAAATTGCAATGATAAACTAAAATTAAAACAGCTGATATACCACTAAAAGTTAAACATTTGATATACCTTATATTTAGCATATCGTAAATTAGATGTACATCAGATATACATATTAGATTTTGAACTCATTCCCTCTAAATATTTTTTATTTACCTTGACTCCTTTGTCCAGGTTGAGTAACAATGTGACCAGCACAAAGCCTGAACCCAAAATCTCATGAATAGGTGATGCCACAGTGGTCAGAACTCTTGTTGCTGTGCCATCTCCCAATGACTCATGATGGTTTTGTTCCATTTGAATCCTACAAATAGCTCTTTTCTCTCATCCAAATTAAAAGGCTCCACTCCACCAAAAAATGTCTTTATTATGCAGTTCCAATTTTGGTAAGGAAATACTCTCAATCTTGAACAAAAACCAAAGCTTTGGACATACAACAAATACAAATAGCAGAAGATTATTGAATAATATCAATATAGTTTAGCTACATCAAGAGAACATTTACAGCTCAAAAATAATGTTGCTAATACGATCACCACAGGTAAAGATTTGAGATTGAAAATCTTTTTTGTTTTTTTTAAATTTTTCAATACTTCTTGTTAATTTCGTAGGTGAGTTTGGAAATATTGATGATCATAAGCTGATCAGAAAACTCGACATAAGGCATGAGCACTTGATTAGGGGACAACTAAGGAAGGGTGACCTTGTTTACGAGCACAATTTCTTGATCAAATCATATGAGTTGGACCTGGATAATAAACCAACCATGGTTTCTATTATCAACCAGTTACAGGTTCGAGTCGTCTTTGTTTGTCGATCTAACGTTCTTGTTTCTTATTTTCTATTTTCTATTTTTATTTTCTATTTCTTGTTTAGTTTATTTTTCTCTCTTTCTAAGAAACAATTTAGAATGGCATTTAGTAATTATATGTTGTTTTATTTATTATTATCATTGAAAAGAAAAATCTGTAAACGGGAACACAGATTTTTTTTTTTTTTTGAAAGGGAAAGAGAGTTAATCATTAAATATAAGTGGCCACGTGGGCAATTTGTCATTGCATTTCATAAGTAAAAAAATTATGGAACTAGGAATAAAAAAAACAAGAAACTAGTTTGGAAAAATTATAAAAATGGCGTAGAATTTTGAAAATTTGAACTTTTTTTCTGAAGAGATGAGAAGGATAAATTATTAAGACCGAGTTTGATACCATTTTGTGTTTAAAAGTTAAGCTTAAAAATATAATTTTACCCTTGTGCCTCTTTGTTTATAATCTACTTTTTGAAAACATGGTCAAAATCTAAGTTAAGTTTTGAAAATTAAAAAAAAAAAAAAGTGGTTTTTTAAAATTTATTTTTGTTTTTTAAATTTAAATAAGGATTCAAATTTGTTTTTTTAAGGTTAAAAATGTATCAAAGTAATTGTGAGGAAACAAGGTATAATTTTTAGGTATCCTTTGATGACCATTTCATTTGTAGTTTCATGTTTCTAAATTATACCTATTATTCTACAATTTCATTACTAAGTTTTTCGCATCTCTTCAAATCATATTTGAATTTTTTGCCAAATTTTAAATAAAAAAATTTTAAAAAATTACTTTTTGCTGTTAATTTTTTTTTTCCTTCATTAGGAGTCAGCAATAAACCATTTCAAAAGTTGTGGGTTGGTGGAGACAGGATATGCCTCAACTAGAGAGATGGATAAAAGGGGCCTCATATGGGTGGTTCATAAATTGCAGGTCGTGGTGGATCTCTATCCTTCTTGGTAATAAATTATATATTTCTTTATTTCATTATCGTTATGTAATTCTCAATTTTATTCTTTGGGTATAATTTCTTTTAATTAAATTCTTCGGCTAGAAAATCTGAACAGAGAGCAAACATTTCATTAACATATTTATTAACATATTTGAACATGTAGACATGCCACTTGAATTTTAATAATAGGTAGATTAGATATTTCAGGTGACAAATTACATTTGAGTGGTGACAAATTATATTTGAGTGGTATGTTTGCGTGTTCAAAAATGTTAATAGATGAATAATTTAACGATACATAACATTTTTATCCAGAGAGTTTGACAGTATTTTTTATGGGAGGAGGACTTGAATGGAAATTTTAATACTGAATTGAGAATTTTAAAATATTAAAGCCTTAATTTGAGAATTTCATATGATATACTAGTGGGCAAAATGTTCATTATTTATCATTTTATTATTTTTATCTTAAGAGCAATTTTATCATTCAAATACAAATATCTCTCTCAATTCTTCTAATTTTATCTCGGTTTCTAAACACTATCTCTTATTCTTTACAAATTTCTACCTCTATATCAGTTACTCACTCCTCAAATTTTCTCTGCCTCTTTCTAAATACTATCTCTCTACTTCTACAAATTCCAGATAATGTTAAATAAATGATATTTTGAATAAGAAATTTGGACGATGGGTGGAGAAAAAAAGTCCTAGAGTGAATGAGAAATAAAAATACTTAAATGATTAAGGAGTCATTTGTTTTTTAGGAGGTAGATGTCTAACATCTTCAGATATTTAGAATTTCGGATGTCGAGAATATTAAATATTTGGCATATTTAGATAGCTATATTTGTTTTCTAGAAAAATTTATAAGGATTTTCGAGAATATTTAGATAGTTACGTTGATTCTGCATGATTTATTTTTGGAAATGTTCTAAATGTTTCAAAATGTCCTTACGAATTTTGATGTACATTAATATTAATATAATTTATATTTATATAATAGATTTGTTTTTATTAATTTAATCTTTTGTTTTTTATATATTAATTTCGTATATTGTTTTTTTTATATTAATTTCGTCTACAATTTTTGTATGTTATTTTGTACCATTCATACTGATAATAAGTTTTTTTTTTTAAATAACTAGTATTAAATATACCTTTCATTTTCAATTTTTATATGAAAAAATAATTAAGGACAAAAATGTAAAGAAACGATGCCCTCAACATAAAAATGTAGAATACTCAAGCATCCAAAACAACTTAAATGAGAAATGGTGGAATTTGAGTGAATTTGGAGAGAGAGAAAGAGTGGCATGGGGAGAGAGTGGGAGAGAGAATTGGTAGAATTTGAGGAGATGGGAAAAGAAAGAGGTAGAGAGAGATGAATGACAAAATTACCCTCAAAGTAACACAGAAAATTATTAAAATTAAAGGGGAAAACAAGGAGATAAAGTTTTTTCTTAACGTGCCTTATATAGAGTATATATTTAGCATTCAATAATCATTTCTTTGAAATTCATGTTTTGAATTTGTTTTGGAAGGAATGATATTGTTCAACTAAGCACTTGGGTTTGTGTATGTGGGAAGAACAATTTTCGTCGGGATTGGATCATTCACGACAGTAAAACCGGTGAAGTTTTGATTCGTGCCATATGGTTAGCTCTCTTCTCCTTCTTCTTTTTCGTTTGTTAGAGTACAACAAGTGGAGTAGGGAATTCCAACTCATAACTTTTTAGTTAGAGAATTACCATAAATTAAGCTCATGTTGGTGGCTCTTTTTCTTCTCCTCTTAATTTTCTTTTTTGTTGATTTGTATGCTACAAAATATAACAACTTTAATTTGGCCATTAATATATAAGTTTACATTTTGCAGTTTTTATGCTCTGATGAACAAAGATACAAGAAAATTATCAAATGTTGATGATGAAATCATGGCAGACATAACTCCCTTTCTTTCTAATTGTGATCCCATCGTCAAAGAGGACAACAGCATCCTAAGGAAACTAGACGTTAATTCAAAAGATTGTATTGGCAGTCATTTAGTTGTAAGTTTTTTTAATAATGTTTTTATATTTTAAAAATTATGCTTATTTACTGACGTTTTCTTGGTTTTTAAAATCTTACTTTCATAAATGCATGCTTTTTTTTTCATTATTAAATTCAAGTTAAGTTTCAAAAAATTAAACAATACTGGTTTTAAAGTTGTTATCAAACGTGCACCCTGGCTAAGACTATTTTTTGGAACCTAAAATTACCTAATCGGAAGTTTATTAATAAAAGAAAACTTATCATGAAGAACAGAGAAATCAAATACGAATTTGTGATTTTAGAAAATGGCCTAATCAATCAATTCTTTTCAATCTTTTGTAATCTTTTAACTTATCATAAATAACACAATTTTCTTGAATTTTTTTTTTTATTTTTGTGTGAAATTGTAGACTAAATCATGTGATTTGGATCTCAACCAACATGTTAGTCACATCATTAGCTATATCAATTGGATCCTCGAGGTATGTTTTCTCTTCATTTTTAATGATATTTCTTTTTTATACTACATCGTGAATAAAAAGGTGGTCCTTCGAATATGCTGAAAATTTGATTCCTGATTTTTAATGATAAATCAAGACAGTTCAATTAAGAAAAAATGATAATACGGCTGAATATAATATCAATATCTCATTACGCAATCAAGTTTTATGGATAATTCAGAAATATGAATAAGATCCATATTTTATCATATTTTAGAAACAAGAACTAAATAAGAAAGTAGGATTTTTCTTTCTTTTATTTATTTATTATTTTTTTTTTGGTAAAGTAAGAATGAAAAATGAAATATATGTTGTTTCAGAGTGCTCCTCCAATGGTAGTTAAGAATCATTGGCTCTCAGCCATAACCATCAAGTATCGAAAAGAATGTGGAATAGACAGAAAGCTGAAATCTTTATATGTTCCCATTAGAGACGACAACAATGGCGATGAGAGCGAAGAAGGTATCAAGTTCCAACACGCATTTTTCACCGACGAATGTGAACTCGTTCGTGCAAGAACCGTTTGGAAACCTAAACCTACATAGAAACGTTTTCTTTTTGGGCGAAGTGTGTGGTTGTTTCGTGATATTAATCGAAGTTTACATAAGTTGGCCCGAACACTCATGATTAAAAGAAAAATCATTTTGAAGCCGTACGTATAGTCATTTCAACCTAACCCCCTATTCTCTTGAATAAAGTTTTGAAAAAACAGGTGTAATGTGGAATAACGGCTCCATTCCCATGAGCTGTAGAGAGTTAGCTATCCCTCATCATTATTCTTAGTATGCCTCCTCATCTTTTGTGACCATATAATTTTATGAAGCAATATTATTTATAACGATATGAATATATATTTTTATTATACTTAAAATTACAATTTCTCCTTCTTGTTTTTCCACAAATGAGCTCGAGGCTGTGATATTTTATTTTAATGATTGTAGAAGGTGTTGGTTGAAAAGAATATGAATATTTGCTCGTATTTTAAAGCATTATTTTGCTTAGAAGTACAAGGAGGATTAGAGTTTAGTCCTAATTTAGAGTGGTTATTGATTTTTATTTTTTGGACTTACATTCAGCCATTTGTACGAGGAACATAGTGCTTGCCTATCTTCTTTGCTGACCACCAATTAAAATTTAACAACTCTTTAATTTTTTAAAAATAGGAAAAAAAAAACATTCTTTGTATTTCTTTCTCTTACTGTTGTTAAAAACTTTAATTGTGGTCAACAAAAGATGGATATCGACCCATGAACAAGTGTTTTAATTATCAATTCTCACCCAACTTGTTTATCTAGCTAATGTTGTAATGTTACTTATCTAATGAATATCAACTGTAAAAATTTAATTGTCATCTTAACAATTTCTAGACTTTGATTATAACGTTGTGCTTAAAAAGTAAGAGAAAATGTCAAAAAAGTTATTGAGAGGGCGAAGTAGATTTAAAATCTTAATAATAGTGTAAGAAGAGGTGGTTTTTCTTTAAGACAATAGATTCTCTAGTCCATAATTTCAAAAGGATGAATGACATTGTCTATGTTGAAATTTGTATAATTTTAATTTACTTTTGAAATCCATACAAATTTTCAAACTGATAAAAAATATTATTATTTATATAGTTCAAAATTATGTCATACTTTTAATCGATATTAGACTATGTTGGTTAAGAACTACAATCATTTTTTTTAATACATGTTGCCTGATTAATGAGCTGCATGGATCTATTAGGCTAGGATTATATATTTAGGATCAAATATTTAAAACAAAAGAAAAACTAAACTAAAGCCTTGACCTCCGTTGGGGCCTTATAGACCTCTGTATCTTGTTTATTGTGCTATTCGGATTGATGTCTATTTTCGATGTACTATTTGACCTAGAAATTGTTGCTCGTCTGCCCAACCGATAGTTATTTCGCCTTGACCCTTATTTTGTTGATTGCCTTTCTTTGTTTTGTTGCTTTGCTATGGCTGTAAGTTTGTTTTCTCGCTGTTTTCCCCTGTTTTTTTTTTTTTGCTTTGACCTCGGGATGTGAGGTCCTCTTTCTTGTCTTTTAATATATTTACCTTTCGAAAAAAAAAAACTAAACTAAAGCACTATGGGAAAATTGGTTTAAATTGTAGGGTGGCAAATTGCTTTGATTACTAAAGTTTTATATAAATATTTTGATATAATTAATATTTATGGAGTTTCATCTCACAATCAATTGGCAATAGGATGAGTAGTCCATGTCTATTATAAATCCTTGTTAGGTCCCTTATATTTTCAATGTGGGGTCCTTGACATGCTTCCTCAAGATCGAGGTTCTTTAAGCTCACTGATCTTGGTCGGATCCCATATTTTGAACCCGATGCTCATTTGAGTTTTTGGGCTCTGATACCATATCAATATTCATGGGTTCCATCTCAAAACCAATTTACTTAATAGGTCCCTTATCTTTTCAATATGGGATCCTAAACATACCCCCTTAAGATGGTGCCTCTTTTGGGTTCACCAATCTTTGGATCGGATCCCATTAGACCGGATGCTCATTTGAGCTTTTTGGGCTCTGATACCATATTAATATTAATGGGATTCCATCTCACAATGAGGATGATGAATGTCTTAGCCAACATGTATGAAAAATCCTCGATAAATAATAAGGTTTATCTCACAACTAAATTTTTTAATTTGAAAATGACTGAAGGTACATCTATTACTACCCATTTAAATGAGTTTGAAGCGTTGATTAACAAATTGGTAGATGTTGATTTTGAATTCAGTGATGAAGTTTATGTTATTTTGTTGTTAAGATCTTTGCCTGATAGTTGAGAACTCATGTGAGCTACTACATCAAATTCTTGCGAGAAAGAGAATTGAAAATTGTAGATGTTAGAGATGCAGCTCTTGTAGAAGAAATTCGTATAGGAAAGACTATGGTATTGCTTCTACTTCTGGTTCAGCATTTAATGTGGACAGAGGAATAAATAATAACAGAGGTTATGAGAATCAAAGCAAGTCGATAAACAACAAAAGCAGGTCCAAGAAACAGCAGGTTTGAGTGCTGAAATTGTAGTAAAACTGGGCACTTGAAGAGGAATTGCAAGGGCCTGAAGAGAACTGAAGGGAATGAAGTCGGTGCAAATGTTGTTGAACAGATACATATGCTCTTGTTCTTGCAGTTAAGAGCACTCACGACACATGGGTCATGGATTCAAGAGCGTCTGATATAGAAATGAGTATCACGGAGTGCACGGGGAAAGCCTACAAGAGGAGGAAGCTCAAATAAGCTCAAATGAAGCTTATGCTCAAAGTCAACCCAATCATGAGCCAATCATTATGCCACAAGGTCTAATCACAAGAGCTAGAGCTAAAAGACTACAAGAAAGGTTGAATGGTCACTTCCAAGTTAAGGTGTTCACACTTGGTGAAGAGTTGCATCCTTTCAAGCTTAAAAAGACATCTTGTCATCCAAGAAACTTCATGAATCTAAAAATCCAAATTCATCCACATATTTAATTTATTATGTATTTTTCAAGGGTTGTGTCTTTTCAATTACTATAAATAGAGATGTACATTTGCTTTTGAAACACAACATTTGATGAATTAAAATTTTAGATTGAGTTTAATCTCTCTCAAGCTCTAAACTTTCTTTGTATTCTTGTGTTTAGAATGCATGTTTTAGAACTTTCAATCTAGTTTGATCAATTAGATTGTGGAGAGTTCGAAATCTTGAAGATAGGAACAAGTTATCTTTTCTTCTTGATCTTTGACATGTTACCAAGCATAAATCTGTTTAGCTTTCTTGGGGTTGGTTCATCATCTTGTTATTGGGGTTATTCTTGTTATTGTTGTGGGGGTTCACCTTGAATAGGGGAGTTCTCATGCATAATTAAGATAGTTCCTTTATCATTGATGTGCAGGGCATTCTAAAGTTTCTTCTTTTGGAGGTTACAGATACTATGTGACTTTAATAGATGACTCAAGTAGGAAGGTATGGATTTATTAATTTCTTGAACATAAGTCTGATATATTTTTTGTTGTCAAAACTTCAAAGTGTTGGGAAGATTTACTTACCGATAATATTTTCCCCTTCCACAGTTCTTCAGTGAAAACAAAATCAACTACAAATAATATGAGAAAATAGGGAAAGCACAGAAACAACACTAAATAAATTTATACTGGTTCACCCAACTATGGGCTACGTCCAGTCTTACACGATAATGAGTTCTACTATGATATTTGGGATAAATACAATGAGTCTCACAAACGCTCTACAAAGCTCTCTCTAGATGCTACAACAATAGTCACATAGCTTCTAAGCACTACGACAATAGCTACCTAGGAATACAGAATGAAAAACCTCACTCACCTCAAGAGAACGGGCTGCCAACAAAGCTCTACAAGCTAACGTTCTTCCTTTTCTTCCCTGCCAAAGAACACCACCACCGCCATTTTGTGCACCAACACCACCACAAGAAACACATGACCACTATTTTTATTTGGGTAAATGGCTAGCCACAAATTTTGGCTTATAAAACAAAACCAAAAGACAGATAAGATAATTGGGCTTTAATGTTATTTATGCCCAATTAACACTTTTATTTTATTTTGGAGTTTTTTACTCCACAATTTTATCTCAACAATCTCCCACTTGGAGACAAAACGACAATTTCGCCTCCCACTGTAACAACAGTGTCCCCCGTGACTTAGTTCTGACTGCACCAACAGCTTCTAACTGATCAACACCCTCTTGGCACCAACCAAGGCTCAACTCCCATTGCACCAACAACTTCTAACATCTTCTTGGCACCAACCAAGGCTCCATCTATGATTGCTCTGAGACTGAGCAATCCTACATGGTCAAGTCTCCTAGACGTAAGAGACACAGTCACGTACTCCCACTCGAACTAAGTGGTCCTCAACGCTTCTTTCTTCACTCGCACCCAACGATTCTTAAAGAAAGATTTTCCCTCTGATGACTTGGCACTCCCACACAAGTTCGTTGCACTCTCGAGACCTCACCCTCGACCTCAGCACCAACTGTAGTCTTTTTCCTTGATGCACTCTTTCGCCTTCGCGACTTCATCAACTCCCTAATCCGTATGACAATTGGGGCTTTATCCTGATAGTCTGCTGAACACCTCACTGAGATGTTCCCCTTTCCCTTTCCTCTACTTCCCAACTGTTATACTTGAACTGATGACAGATTCTCTTGATCTGTATTGACTATCAATGATGCTAGTTCTTTCAAGTCTCCCCTTGAACTATCTGCAGCCCTATGCATAACTTGTCTCTCTGATCTTTTGGCAACGCTGAACGTCAATACGTACACTGAAGCTTCTCTGTGGCCAACAACCACTACCTTGGATCCTTTTATAAGTTTCACCTATTTTCTGCAAACTCACTTTTGTAGCCCTCATCATCCAGTTTCCCCGCTGATATCAAATTCATTTTAAAATTGGGTACATATCTGAGACCATGCAAAACTAACTCGATCCCACTGTCAGTCTTCAGGCGCACCTCCCAAATTCCTCTGACCTTGGAGAGTCTCTTGTTCCCTGTCCTCACCGTGCCATAACTACCTATAGTGAGGGACGTGAACCAACTCCTATATGAAGATACATGCACCGAAGTTGCACTATCCACTACCCACTCTGATGATTGGTCTACATGTGTTGTGTTTCCCTCAATACACGCTAACACATCCGCTGACATGCAATTTAGAGTGTCCTCATTTTCCCGATCCTCCTTAAACTTCCTGTAGTATTTCTTGAAGTGACCTTTCTTATGGCAGTAAAAACATTGAACTTCTCCACTGGAACTCCACTACTCCTGTTA